ACTTACTGATTTCCCAGCCAGGGTTCCCTGTCCAGAAATGACCTCCATGTTTTTATCTATGCAGCTTCAGTGGTGGTTGCAGTTCGGGTCTGCAAGGGAAACAATTTAATACAGAACACACAACCCATAGGATTACTTCATAATAGTCACTCAAAGGGTCACATACAAAGAGAGTGCAAAAAACCTTTCCACACACTAAAGATCCAAAGAATCCAGCTGAGGATCTGGATCCTATGGCAATTTCCTTCATGAGTCCAGCTGAAGACCTAGAGCCTATAACATGAGTCCAACCAGAGGCCAAGAACCCAAGACAATGTCTCATGCAGGACTCTTTCACAAATCTGTGCTGGGAAAGCCCAAAGGTCAGTGGTGGAAATAGAAAGTCTGTGCCAGCGGGATGAAGGATCTGTGCTAGCAGGCTGAGGGATCTGCAGTGGAGCTAGGAAGTGACAAAGTAAGAACCAGAGCTCCTCCAAAGAGTAACACAGCCATCCTCAGCAATAGTGCGGTCCTGAACTCTGATGATGATAACAGCCAAGTTCCCATTAGGAAAGCCAACGTGACAAGCTTCTCCAGGAGACTGAGTGGTGCACCATCTTCTCCTCCAGAGCCAGGAAGCAATGCTCAAATTGAGGACCAGAGCTCTCCCAAAGTGAACCGAAGCCATTCTCAGTGACAAGGTCCTGAGCTCCTCCAACATTGAGAACAGTCGATTTCATCAGGAAAGCCAACTTAACAAGCTCCTCCAAGAGAACCAACATTTCCCTAATAGCTTCCCAACAGCTTCTCTCTTCTTCTCCAGTTCTGCCTCTTATGCTGCTAGCAACAATCCTCAGGTGGGCCTCCCACACCCAGCATCATGCTGGTTGAGATCAGCTGGGTGTTACAATTTGACCACTAGTTGTCAATCCATCACAGTGGCCTTCAGGGTTCCCAGTGTGACACCTTATTTTCCAGATGCAGTTGCTGGGTGCAGCAGCAGACCAAAGTGTGTGCATTCAATACCTTTTGCAGAACTTTCAGAAGTGGAACAGAGCCAAGAATGGAGGGAGAAAGGAGAAGCATATGTGTGTGTGTGTGTGTGTGTGTGTGTGTGTGTGGAGCATGCAAGCTTGGGAGTTGTCAAGCAGCCATTTTCTGTGTTGAACATGGGGAAACAGAAAAGTCAAGCATGGGGACAGAAAGAGGGGTGAAGGAAGGTGGAAGGGGAAGGAACATGGAGGGGGAGGAGGAGAGGGAAAAGGAGAGGGAGAGAGCTGACTCCCAGAGAAGAGCAGAGGGCCTGAGATTCTCCATGATACTACACACTCAGCTTTGTTCCCCAAGCCCAGTCCCTATGCCCCTGCCCTTGGAGTCTGTGGGATTTTTCTAGTTTCCTTCTGATAAACTGTCTTAATATATAAGTTGGGTTTTGTCTCTGGTTGTTCTCTCAGCTTAAAAGAGCAGTTCTGCAGCATAGGAAGAGGGCAGCTGCTGCCCTCCCAGGAAAGGATCACTGCAGCTCTCCCTGGTCTCTCCTAGACTGCATCACACCTACTATTGACATCCAGTGCTGAGCTGCTGATGTTGGAAATTAAGGATACTGTCATCTTGTGCTGCCATAGCTGGTGACATTGCCTCACTGTGCAGAACCTATTATACCACTACTGCCACCATCCTGTGTCTTGCAATTATAAAAAAATATCAGCAATGTCCTACATTTAATTATGGGGTGGGGGACAATGGAACTTAATCAGTTAAACTGTGGGCCAAACTATTGGGTTAATAATATCCCTTAGTTATTTTAGGCTGATCAGGTCTGCAATCCCCCGAACGAGTGTATGGTGAAGGCTAAATTTAAAAAGGCAAATAGAATGATTTCAGGGCTCCAGGAGGATCAAAGCCTTCTTACAAATTTTGAGATTCTCTCAGGGCTAAGACCAAGACCTTCTCTGGGTGGCCTGTATTTATTTGGTTATCAGAAGATGGGAGAGGAATATTCAAGAAGGGCAGAATTACTCAAGGACTTCTCCAAGTAAGGTGTTAAGTTAACCCTTAATAAGGTTTAAGTAAAACCACCCAGGGGTGAGTTGCCTGAGGCTACAGTCTTTATCTAGTTGAGATTGGATTCAGGTGTCCTTGGCTCTGATCTTGTCTTATCCTTTGGGGCTTTCCAGCTTTATCCACCATTACAGACTTTAGTAGGGATTAATGACTCAGAGAGGGTCACTGACTATGAGTCCATCACCCACTTCCAGACAGGTGGCCTAGGCTTTGGACAGATACACAAGTAAACATAAAAAAAAGTTGGTGAATTTAAGTCCTGCTCAGGGCTGCTTCATAGTGGTCTCCATCACCAAACAACAAAAAATTCCACATTCCTAATTGTATGTTAAAACATTACTTTAAAAATCCCAAGAAGCAGACCCCCAGGTACCATCCATCCCTATTTTTTTTTTTTCTTTTTGGCAGTATCGGAGATGGAACCCAGGGGTCACAATGAGATACATCCCAGGCCTTTTAAAATTTTTATTCTGAGACAGAGTCTCATTAAGTCACTAAGTTGCCCGGGCTGGGCTTCAATTTGAGCTCCTCCTGCCTCACCCTCCCAGAGTGATGGGATTACAGTCATGTGCCACTATGCCTGGCTAATACTTCACCTTGATGACTGTCCTGTCCCAAAACATTCCCTGCCTCATGTTGTCTTGCCTCTCTTATCTATAGCTAATGTAGGTTCAATGTAAATAACTTCCTTCCTTTGCCAAACTTTCACTATACAAGTTTCCTGACTTATAGGTCCCTCAGAACTATTACCTGGACTTGCCATTGGAAGTTGTAAGAACTGTCCTAGCAACTTTTTCTTTTCTGGGTGAGCTCAATAAAGCCTTTATTTCAAGACTGTTCCATCTCAAGAGCTTAGACTGAAGAATCACTGGGAAAGCATACTATTTTTCTTCACTAGCATTGTAGCCTCTTCTACCATGAATCCTCACATGAATTTGAAGGCTGGCTGTAGAGGCATGTATCACTTAGGACATCTTTGGCTAAAGTAACTATCAATATCCAACTAGAACTGGCTTTACAAACACATACCTGGAAGTGCTTTGATTCTGCCTTCATCTGTAAAGCTTTGTCCTCAGACTGGCAATGGGTTGGCTATCACATTGCTCGGCATCGTATCTAGTATAGCAAAGACCAGAGAAAAGAAGTACTTCATCTCTTGCCTGTGTCATTTTTAGAAGTGAAGAAATTGTTCGGTCTAGTTAAAGATTAGTGCAATTGCAAAAATAGAGGACCACCTAAGTTATCAATCTTTCACATGCCTTAGAGGCTATCAACTTTCTTTGTGTGTTGGAGCCCCGGGAGAAATTAAAAAACACAGATGGATGGCTCACAGCTACCCCTGATGAGCCATCACTAAGGAGACTTCGTTGCTGAGGTTGGTCCTAAAGCACAGCCAGCATTACAAAACACTGGTGCAAATATAATTTCGATAATGCCACAATCTTTGTTCCTCCAAACTTGCTCAGATGTGTCCAGATGTGCCCAGACATGCCTAAATCCTAGAGTTAGCACAGTCTTAGCCTTGTTACCCTAGAATAGCTGGTCCTTTGAGTAGACAAAGAAGTTTGCTAAGAACATGCTTTGCATACTAGTATGCTGGTTTACCATCTATATGTGCATGCAACCCCTCCCCCCAAAATGCTAAAAATACTACCATCTGGTTGTAATGGAGGAGACTGTCTTCTCTGTAGCAATCCTAGGTTCATGGCTGAGGCTTTTCTACCACAAGATAAACAAGAGGCTCATACAAATTTATTTAATGGAATTTTACATGACACGGAGTCTTCCTGAGGAAATGAACTTGGTACTCAGGCATCCCAGAAAGCAGAGAAATCACTCTCATGTCCCTCTCTCTCTTCTCCCCTGAAGCAAGCCATAAATCCTAGAGGGATTTTCTAACCTTCTCATGAAGGAGACCCTATGACCCTCATATGAGAGTTGCCTTCCCTAACCCAGAGGAAAATATCAAAGGGACAGAAACACAGACAAGTATATGTACAACCTGGTTAAGTGTCTTAACCAACTAGGCCTGGTTAAGTCTCTTCTGGTTTATTGCCATGAGATCACACCCCCTTTGACTCATATCTCAGCACTGTTTATCAAAACTAAACATAGAAATGCACAAAGTTACCTTTTCTTCAAGAGATTTCATTTCATTATGAAGGTTCTCGTGTCACCTACAACTTACATTAAATATATTTCAGTGCTTTTCTCTTGCTAATTGATCCACTGTTAGAGGATCTTCAGCCAGAGCTTAGCATTGGGTTAGGTAAAGAGATTTTTCCTCTATAAAAACAAGAGACTTGGTTTGTGGAGAGGAATAGAAGTGCGGATTAAGAGTTGTTGACACCAGACAGAACAACTAAAGTAACAAACTTGGCCTCTGTCCAGTGGCATAAAGGGGTTTAGATCTTATTAAATGAGTCAAGGGAGTGGTCAACAAGCTTTCAGCAAAAGAGCAAGGGTTTAAACTGAGGAAGCAAGCATGTGAGGGGACCACTCCACCAGAGACAGGTGCTGACGCTTGGACTCAGAAATGGTTCCTTGGGACATTCACTGCTCTGTGTCTATGATCACAGAGAAGAATTACCCTAAGTGTTTCTTTAGGGCTCCCTAAGTCTAGAGGAGCAGTTTAACTGGCTTCCCCAGCAATCCTTGCTCAGTCACTTGACTCCTATGTCTGCAGGCAAATGCTATTTAAAAAAAAAAAAAAAAAACAGGACGCAGACTCCTAGCCTCTTCTCAGTTTCCGATTAATCATTTAGATGGACATCTAAACTCACTCCGGTAAAAAGATATGTAAACTTTGGGTCAGGATCACAATCCTGTCTCAGATATATGACTCCTTACCCCTGCTTTCAGAATGTGTGTTGCGGGGGGGGGGGGGGCTTTAAAAAACGTTATTTTCATTCAGCCATAGTTTCCTAGCAACCGGGAAAAGTCATCTGTTCTCCTGATGTCTGCAAGCGCCAGCCCCAGCCGCACTGATGCTCAAGCACCTGCAGAAGCAGAGAAAGCACAAAAGCCCTGCAGTTGGTAAGATTCCTGAAGGGGAATTTGTACAGAGCCAGCATCTCATAGAGCACAGCAGAAAGAGCATCTGGTTGGTGGGATGTGGAGGGGCTGCCTATACTGTCGTGTGCATGATATTCCTGGAGGCTACAGGGGGCTGTGACTTCGGGAGGGTTGGTTTCTATGAGAAAGCTGAAGCATAACGTGGCTGACATCTTTCCAATACCTCTTCTGCATGTGTTTCCAGCCAGTGGTCTTGTTTTCTTTAAAGCTCTTCGGACAGAAAAGAGGAGTGACTGGCAAAATTAAAATCTAGCTTACAGTCTGTGGAAATGGCCTTTTTTCAACCAGGTCAAGCTGCTAAATGCATATAAATCACTGAATTCTACAATTAGAAGGAACCTGTCTAATCATTCAGCCCTTCTTTTACAGAGGAAGAAGCCCAAAAAGAGAGAGGCAAATTAATTTGTTCAAGGTGACACAGCTGCTCAGCAGCCTCACAGGGGCTGTGACCTCTAGCCTCACGTTTTGGAGGTGAGAAATGCTCATATTTTCAAAACTTAAGCACTTATACATTATGCCACTTGAATGGAGCAAAGGAGTCTAAAAGGAAGACAGCAATAAAGAGATGCAAACTTTATAATTTATAAGTCTGAAATTCAAAGTATTTGCTCAGAATTACAAGAATGGGCTGAAGGAAATGCTATCTTCTGCCTTTCAGGCTTCAAAACAAAGTGAGCTCACTTCCTGTCAAGGAATCAAGGTAGGACAAACATCCTATGAACACATATTTCTCCGAATTATTGAATGAAAAGAATTTGAATACATGCCAGCCTTTGTGGGGTCATAGGATGTTAAGGTGAAACATGTTTTGGTGATGTTAACCCGGCTTGTTTTCAGGTAAACCTGAGACTGAGGTACCGAAGGTACCATCTAAACCTGAGACATGGTACCGCTTGGCCATGCCAAGCAGTGGTGGAGTGGGCTGCACATCCTGGCACCTGGCTTCCCTTCTCTAGGCCATGAGGCCACCCCTCTGGCTAGCAGCACCCTCTCCCACTTACCTGTCCAGTAGGGAAAAAAAGTACTGCCTTCCTAGCTCATCACCTTCACAGGGATGCTCCCAGTGTCTTCTGCCACTTTGCCTTCTCCACCTCCCACCATTCCTGAAAGGCTGAAGCAGATGTAGGAGCAGCTAGACTGATCTGAAATAACTAAGTTAGCCAGCGGAGAATTTATTCAACTCTGCACCCCACTTTCTCATTGCCTCCCGTTGGAGAGCTGACCCCAATAAACCTTACAGTGTGTGTGCTATATGCATCCAAAGAAAAGTTTCTTTCTAGTAATATTTAGCATAGTGATTTTGAAAGTCCTGATTTTTTAAAAAAAGCCATGACTTCAAAAATACAAAAGATAATATGATGAACATCCAAGAACTTACCCTCCCAGAACCAAAACTGTTAACATTTTTGTTATATTTGTGTATTAGTGATCTCCAGAGTAATGTGTGTGTGTGTGTGTGTGTGTGTGTGTGTGTATACAGGTGCAGTGTAAACTGCAGATGGCTACTCAGCTGGATAAGCCTTTAACCATGGAAAGAAGGCTTGTAAAGAAGGAAATGAAAAAGCTGCTGTGAGTATGACTAAAAACAACTCTCACTGATGACCATTGGCATTTGGTGGGTTGTCACGGATGGCCTGGATGTTGCCAGGTGGGGGGAAAGCTACAGAAGACTGTACTCCTGCTCTAAAGGAGAAAGCCGAAGAATGGCCTGGCCTCTTTCTCCTGCTAGGGAGGCCTCACACATGGTATACCTCAGCGTGCTGAGTCTTAGGAGGATGTTTCTACCAGCAGCATGCACTCTGAGGCATCCCCATTCTAGAATCTGAGAGTGGGGCCCAGCCAGTGAGCACAGCCAGTGTAGGCAGGAAGATCTGCTGCAAGGGGCTAGTCCGCTGGGAAAGGACATATGAGAGAGTCCTTGAAAAGGTGCCCTGAAGACCAGCATTTAAATTACAGCCACTGCCTCTTACTCTTGGCATATCAACCCAGTAATTCATCTTTCTTTTGACAGCTGAATTTTTTTAAAACACTGCTTCCTGTAAACAATTTTTCTTTTATGTAGCTTTTCTTTGACATTTACTGAGCAAATACTGGTGAAAACTTATAGAGCACATAAAAAGAGAGGGAAAGGTTATATTCTATTTCATATATATATATTACAGCCATAATAATAATAATACCCCTTTCATCAAAGAATTTGTCATAGACTATTCAAGTGTTCCTTCTCTGCCTACTAAGATACTTATCTTTTTACTAAGTCTTTAAGAACTGCTGAGATAAACCTTGTATGAATTCATACATTAACATGTACGTGTTTGGAAACTACTATAACAATAACAAACCATAGTCAAGAATACCAACTCCTATACACATCTCACACAAAGAATTGCAATTTCAAAACTGATGTACATACAATTTTATATCCAAAAAATACTTCTCAGCTACTTGAAATTATCTTGGAATGTACAGCAAGAATTCAAGAACTTTTATGATTCTAGAAAAGATTAATGATTCAAAAGAAAGCTTTGGGAGGCAAAAATAAACTTATCCTCCACGTAGTAAGGAGCCCAAAATGTTCTAGTGGGCTTTCATAAAATGGTGAGATTTGTAGGGATCAGCCCCAGAGGCTCAGATTCCTTTCCCTATTCGGTCCACTCAGCCTCTCTCTCCAACTTTCCCAGGGTGGAATCCTTGCCTTCCTCCCCGGGAGTGTAGTCTACCGCCTCTTATTAAAAATCACTATTGGGGCTGGGGATTTAGCTCAGTGGCACAGTGCCTGCCTGGCAAGCGTGAGGTCGTGAGTTTGATTCCTGGTACCAGAAAAAAACAAAAAAAATAAAAAATAAGAGTCACTATTAAGAAAGGATTTGATCAGAACACAGTAACATGGAATTACTAATGAATGATCAAGTATAACTTCTCCTAAGAGTATGCATTCTAATGAGGAAAAGGCTTACAGTTAAATAATCCATCTCTATAGCATTTTACACATCTGAAAAGAGCCAACTTCGGACATTCTGCCTGAATTTTGCATGGGTAGCAAGGGAATCTTTATTTTACACAGTGGGTCGCAATCCTAACCTTATAATAGCAAAAGCAAAAGAAATTTTCTGTCTGTGGATATTTGGTAGCCTTTTTGCTTTCCTGTAAATTCTGTCCCAACAATGAGTTTGATTTTTAGACTAGGGTAAAATAAGTTAATTATGCTTAGGTATTTTAAATCTGAAGCATTGCAGATTATTATGTAAACCAAAACTGAATAATGACTCAGCTTCCAGGTAGGTCTTCATGGACTTCTGTTGCATTTTGGTCTTGGAGGGAGGGATTGGGAAAAGCCTCTTTCTGCAGACCTAGCCCTGCATTACCCACAATGGTTCAATGCTGCTCTCTTGCTTTTAAGGGGAGATTATATTGGCATCAGACTTCGGGAAAATGAATTTGACCCAAAAGGAAGAAGGCAACTCACCTTTCTAGATGATATGGTAAAGAAAGATGTGCTGATACAGCTCACATTTGTGTTCTATGTATATTAAGGGGGCAGAACAGGGACAGAATTTGAATAGAAAATCAGGGCACTATTGACATAAGTGCCCAAAAGTGTCCTCCTCCTCATTTTTCTCATTTTAAGATTACCCATGTGGTCACTTTGACCCATAAACAGAAAGCAAAATGAAAATGAGAAAATAAAGAGCCCCATCAGGGAAAAAAGATTAAAAAGCAAATGAGTACAAGTTAAAATGTTATGTTCAGGATGTTAAAAATTTGGCAAAATTATCTGTCATGCTGTTTTCAAATGTAATCATTTCCTTACTATTTGATTTAGTGAGGGAAATCCAAAGCTGTGGGTTATCCTAAAACCCTCTGGTACGCATGTTCAAGCCTAGATTTATGTTAGTCTCTGATAGTTCTTCATAAAAACCACAGAAACGTCTAGTCCAAAATAAGTTAGTAAACCTTCAGTTTCCCTGCTGTGCATTTACTATCCTTGCACTACTAAAGCGCCTCCTCTTCTGCCCCCTGATTATTCCCTTCCTCCAGGTTCCCTAAACACCTCCCTTGTGCCTTGCCAAGTATTGAAACCCCATTGGAGTTAAGTTTGTAGTTAAGCCTTATCCTCTCTGTACGCAGATTAGACAGAGAAATGAACCCACTGAGAGCTGCGCTTCTCAAACTTTAATGAGGTCTGATTACAAGGCTGTTTTGATTCAGGAGGTTGGGGTAAGGCAAAGAACCTGCATTTCTAATGAGCAAATATGGTACTGCCAGCCCAGGTCTCTAACTCTGGGTCAGGTTTCAACAACTGAGCATGCTCCAGTTTTCCCGGTATATGTATGTAGGTTCCCATTTCAGTTTGGTTCAAGCCCAGAAAGAAATAATTATATTCCTTAGAGAAGGTGAGAATCTTAGAACCCATCTAAAAGAAAACCAAATGAACCTTGCATGGGGTATGAGTTTGAGGAGGGGAGAGGGAATATATTTTGCTAGATAAATAGTCAATTGGCTTATGAAACGAGAACACTTAGAAATGACCAGACAAAGGTCCTCACGAGGTAGGAATGGACATTCAATTGCCCTCAGCATTAAACTATATGTGTGATTCTCTGTGGGTCACTTAATCAGGCGTTTGTTCATGCTGGTTCCTCCACCCGGTACGCCCCTCTCTACTTGCACAAGCTTTGCTTAATCCCCATGGCCTCCGTCTAGGAAGCCACCTTTCTGAAGCCTCCCAAGACTGTCCCCTTCCCAAATGGATAGGATGGTTCCTCCAGGTTCCCTAAACACTTGCCTTGTGCCCTACAGGTACATTCCTGACCCCTTGCAGAATCAGACAGTGTTCTCTGTGGCCCTCTTTCCTGCTGTCACCTTTTTCTATTTCCAAATTTTAAAAAACTGAGGCCCAGAGAACACCAATCATTCACCCAAGGATATAGCACAAGCTGTTGGCAGTACCTAGAATTGAGCCCCAATTCCCTGATTCCAAGTTTACTATTCTTTCCCCTGTACTGTCCTTTCCTTTCTGGATGATACAAATCACATAACTGTGCCAGTGGAAGATGGATTTAATGCCTGAAGATCCCAAACTATTTGTGCCTGAGCATCAGGGTACTAGGCATAGCTAATGATCCTTCCCACTAGAAATGACAGGATAAGACAGCCTTCACCACACATCCTGACCGGGTCCAGGGTGCCCTTGGGCTGCTGTGTAAACCCACGCCTTCCCCCTCTGTGCATTCTGCTTCCAGGCACACTATGACCTGGCCATCAGCGTTGCTCTGCGGTGGTTGGATCATTCAGAAGACTTAGCTTGGCTGGAGTGGAAGGACATGTAAGTTGAAATATGTTTATTACTTTCCTTTTCAATGCATCACTCTGTTAATCATGGAGGAAGTTCAAGCCCCCAACTAGCATGCTGCACCATGAGGCATTCTGATTTGAAAATACAACAGAGCTAACATCCCCTTCCAACTAGAAACTGAAAGAAACCCTGCCACTGCCAAATTAAGAAGCCACAGATGTGTTTATGTAGCTTGCAGCTTTTCTAATTGGTTGCTGTCAGGTGAAATGTCCCACCAGTGAAACATGACTGCACTGTACTGTATTATGTGCATGCTCTGACTTTTAAAATGGTTGACTCTGTGGGCAAAGACTGCAATCTTTCCCGAAAGACTATCAGACATTTGAGCAGATGCGTACCTGAGTTTGAGTCATGGGATAATTTCCTTTCCAGGATTATTGATATTCTGTCCCATGTGTAACAATCGTTCCAGAAACATTCACTCAGTTGGTAAGAACAGAACGAATGAGGCGGGGATCCAATAGCTTACTCCAGTGGCCAGTTTTTTTTTTTTTTTCTGCTCCATGGTCTGTACTATATATTTGGTCTACATGACTGTAGCAGTAAGGTTTCAGTTGTAATAAAGCAGAAAATCCAGTTTGAACAACTGTAGTTAAGCAAAGAAGAAGAGGAGGAGGAGGAAGAAGAAAGAAGGAAAGAGAGAGAGAGAAAGGAAGGAAGGGAGGGAGGGAGAGAGATAGGGAGGGAGGGAGGGAGGGAGGGAGGAAGGAAAAAAGGAAGGGAAAAGTGCCCTGTAGATAGGTCTGTGTTGGGCAAAGTTTCATTCAAACTTAATTGATGTCACCAGGGTCTACCTCTAGCCTCCACAGCCTCTGGGTTAATGGGAGATGGAGATACCAACTAGTTTAGTCCATGGTGAGTTTTCCATCCTTGGAATTTAGGGTGTTCTCAAGTTCCCTAGACGTACATGGGCTTACATTAGGGAAAGGCAGGTCCCCCAACAAACACGATGAGACAGGGAAAGGGTACTGGCTAACAGAACTATAAAAAGCACCACAGTTCTGTGGTGCTCTGTTTGACAGCTGTGGAGTCATGGATAAGGAGCAAATTCATCTCTACTATCGGAGGACTCAATATTCAGAGTGTGTATTTCACTGATGGAGAGCCAGTCACATCAATTCTATAAATAACTGGCCAGCACATAGCCATTGCAGATTCCTCAGGATTATTACGGCGACCTTAGCAGGAATGGAAAAGAGCAGAATTGAAAGTAGAAGAGGGGGAGGGAGGGGCAGACAGGGGAGAAGAGAATGAGAGAGGGTAGGAGGGCGGATGAGCGTGACTAAAGCACACCGCATCCATCTACAGAAATGTCGCAGTGGAGTCCCTTCACCTGTACAACGAATACATGTTAATAATTTTTGAGAGAACAGGAATAAATCTTCTACTCTTATTTATTCATACTCTCCTTAGGAAATTGCCACTTCACAGCAGACCTATGTACCCAAACTATAGAGAACGAGAAGCAATGATTTTATCATCTTACGCTGGAATTTTAATGGTAAGGAAAAGAGTACTGTATAAGTATATAAATAGATATATATGACTATTTTATGTCTATTTGTGCATTTTAATATCAATGCATATGTATGTTATTTTTCAATCAAAGTTTCTAAATGATTAGGATTTACTAATAGTAAATGCTTCATTTTTAAAGGCATAATAAAAAAAATTCTGAGTTCTATCCTGTATCAAAAATACAAGGGCTGGGGATATAGCTCAACGGCACAGCGCCTGCCTGGCAAGTGTGAGGTCATGAGTTCAATTCCCAGCACCAAAAAAAAAAAAAAAAAAATACGTTAAGACAAAATGAGAGACATGACTAGTTGGCATTTGAAAAACTGGTTTATCTAGTTATTTACCCAGGGCATGGTGGCAAATGCCTGTAATCCCAGCTCTTGAGAGACTGAAGCAGGAGGATCACTGTGAGTTTGAGGCCAGCCTGGGCTACAGGGTGAGTTCAAGGCCAGTCTGCCCTATATAGCAAGACCTTATGTAGTCATTCAGGAGTTATTTATTAGTGCCTAAAACACCACAAATAGTGCTACATATACTAGAGCTATAATAGCTTTACTTTGTAATGAAAGAAAAGCCATGATACAACAATACATTATTGTTGTTGTTTAACAGAACAGTATCCCAATTGAAGAAGTCTTTAAAATTTATGGGGCCAATTCTCCTGCCAATTCTGGTACTACAAAGGTAAGGGTGATGTGGGACTACCAATATAAAGGGTTTTTAGACAGAAATTATTTCATTTATACATGTATAATATGCTTTCAGGTATTAGCTATGAAACAAAACCAGACCTAGTCACATCCTCCTTGATTAATATATGTTTGTAAAATACCTTTTAAAATTTTTTTGCTTTTGTTTTTTGTGATAGTAGGTATTGTACCCAGGGCCTTATCCATGCTAGGAAAGTTGCTGTACCACTGAACTACATCCTCATCCCTTTTTATTTTTTTTTTTGATTTTGAGACAGGGTCTCACTAAACTGCCCAGGCCGGCTTTAAATCCTGTCAATCCTCCTGCTTGGTCTCGGAAGGAGCTGGGATTACAGATGTGCTCCACCACACCCGGCTGTAAAATTGCTCTCACATGGAGGACTGCATACTAATAACAAACATGTCTTTAAAAATTTTTATTAGTCCATGTTTACAGTACACAATGATTACCTTTGTCGTGGGGAGTCAGTACATGCACATTCTTAATTCTCTTTTTTTTTTAATCCTCCACCCTCTCCTGCCCCTCCCTGCTCCTTCCAACTCCTGGTCCTCTTCCCATCTGCAAAAGCTAACAGCAAATAGAGCACTGGGCTTGGGGCCCAGATGCTGCTGTTTCTACCTACTATAATTTCTCACTTGGCCTCTTTGTAACGTTGATCTGGTGAAGTTACACTCTTCCTTTGTGTGATGTACTATATCAGACAGGACGAGGACCAGGTCTATAAGGTTCATTCTCTGGATAAAAGATTTAGTTTACTGCCACCGCCTGTCTCTTCCCGGTGGGAGTACGGGGAAATCACTAGTAGCAGCAGCAGCAAAGACAAGGAACTCCAGGTGCCTGGGACTCCCGAGACCTCTGACTCTGCTAGTACTGAGCCCAAGGCGGCCCCCTTTCCCTCCTCTTTGGACCCCCATCTACTGGTCTCAAAAAAACAAAAGCAAAACAACAAAAAACAAAGAACATGTTCTGAATGATCTTCAGGGCAGTTTAGTATTTGCCATTTATGAATCTAGGAGTATTCAGTGAGCACTCAAACAGGGCTGCTATTTGGAGGTGAACTAGTGATCTCTTTACCTTTAGATACCTCTAGAGGAGGGAAGTGGAGATGGAAAACGGGGTGTGGAGGAGAGGGCAGCAGGAAGGGACAGGAGGGAGGAGAACCACACCTCACGTGGGCCTTCTGCTCACACTGCCATCTGCAATGCCTCCTACCAGGGTTTCGAAGGGAAGCCAATGGAGGGCCAGCGCTGTGCGGCTGCAGGGATGCCTGCTTCCTTGTTCTTTTCTGGGCCCGGGGGAGATTAAGGCGGGGATCTGGCCCTTCCAGGGGATAGCCTAACTCCCACAGTCAGAGGACAAATACAGAAAGCTTGTTCTGTGGGTATGGCAGCTAAACCCCTTGTCTTGGCTGGGATATCACTCCAGACCTGCAAATACGTATGTCCGAGGAGCTCAGATGAGTCAGGTTCACATAATGGGGCTGGAATGGAAAGACATGCTACTCAGAGGTGGGCCCGCCAGTCTCTCCCTGTATATCCCGTCCCTCATCCAGTCAGGAGCCTCTGCTCAGTGGCACACAATCCCCATCCTCATCGCCCGAGACCAGTAATGAAAAGGCCACAAAATGACCAACTCCGAACAGGAACGGATCATATCCTCCTAGAAGAGGGCTTTCCTTTAAAGATCTGTACTTGTTATTGCTACAGGATGGGATTACGTCTTGATTTATATGTGCAAGGCAAGTTTTATATGTGGAAGGATTCTAAAGCCTAGATGCTTGACTCTGAATTCCCAACTAACTGCACAGGTTATAAGCAGAATAATCTTGGGCACATTTTCTAATCTTATAAAGCCTCAATTGCACTTGCAAAAGCAGGGAGAAGAAGGTAGCTTTGTTGTGGCCATTAAATGAATCAGTATCAGTGAAACCCTAATGTTTAGCATTACAGCAACCTCAAAATAAAAGCTATAATTAAGGTTCCAGCACTCAGGAGTTAGGTCTCTGGGTTCCTCCATGGCAGGATTTCTTAACATTTTGAACCAGATGATTCTTTGTTGTGTGCAGGGGGTTGGGGCTGGCATGGGGCCCTACGTACATTGTGAGATGGTCAGCATCGTCCATGCCCCTACCTATTGGATGCAAGCAGCTTTTGCCAGTTGTGACAATAAAAAACATGTCCAGACTGCTACATGTGCCCTAGGAGACAAAATCACATCCGTTTGAGAACTAGTGCTCTAATTAGCCCCAAACTAAGCACCTACCGTTGTAGCTATCATTAATACAATATAAACTTTGCCTATTTTTAGGCAGTTAATTGTTACAAAGGGCATGGCTTGAGGAATCAATACAGGAATCTGAGTTTCTTTCCCTGGGAGCTCCACACACTCCTCCTGGGCTTAAGAATGCTAGCTCAGGTCTTTTTCTTGCATCTACACATTATATGCAGGGGCACCCTACTCCTCTTGAATAAGGAATTAGCAGGACCTCTCAAGGGAAATGTAGCAGTTCAAAAATTAAACGATAAAACTATTTGAAAACAATTCTCTGGGTCTTAATTTTTTCTTAATGATTTTGACTAGACGGAGACAGAGTTATTAAAAAAAAAAAAAAGACATAAATGCCAAAGGTTTTTTCCTTGCTGCACAGATCTGAATGACCTCTGATTCCTTTGGATAAAAGGTCTCCTAAGCAACAGTTAAGATCTTTCTCAAGCGGAAGCTTAAAACCCTGTTGAATACTAATCAGATTTCATAGACTTTCTGGTAATGGGAATTGGCCGCATTGTTCAATATGGGTTCTATGCTCAGGCTGGAGGCCTTTCTCAGGGCTATTTGCTGCCACCTGGTGACAAAAAGCATCACAGACACAGTTGTCTGAACTCTGCGATCCTCAGGTTCTAGCTCCTGAGCGGGAGCTTTTTTTCTACGGAGGACTCTGGACTCAGAAAAAATTCAACCAAGGAGCTTATATAAGTACGGGCCATTTACAACTCACTTTAGGTAACTATAAAATGCCCTACTCAATGTAAATTGAAGAAAAACCGTAAATTTTCCTTCAATGGACAAAGCAAGTGATACACATAGTCTTTAGCTCTATTTGATGGAGAAACAGGGGTCAACAGAAAGGGAAGCAGAGACAGTAAAAATGGGCGCATCAGAGAGAGGAAACGGGGGCAGTGAAGAGGGCAAATGGAACCCCTGCTTTCCTTGTTTATCCAAAGCCACATCCCCAAGAACCCTGGGCTTTCACACTGTGTGACATCCCAGGCCCTTTCATTTTTTCATTTTGAGAAAGACTCTCACTAAATTGCTAAGTTGTCCAGGTAGGACTTGCGTTTGTTATCTTCCTGTCTCAGCCTCCCAGAGTGCTGGGATTACAAGCATGTGCCACCACATCCAGCTTGTGTCTTCTTTTCTTGAAGGATGCTGTCTCAGGCTGAAATTGTGCAGAAATGAAAAAATGGTCTCAGGATAAGGAGAAAGACCTATGTTCTAAATAAAAGTTCCATCTTAACAGATCTTAACAGTGAGGAATTAAAGTACTTTTGGTATTAATTATGTCCACCTGGGTTGAAGTTCAGTCAGGAGATCATCAGTATCAACTGTGTCCAAATTAATACCCTGTATATTTCAACTGCAAAAACCAAGTAAGCACATCCACCAAGCATATCAAGAAAATCATCACTCTTACTCCTTTACAGTTTCACCACATAAGCCTCTCTAAGCAATATATTATTACATTTTGCACAGTTTTAAAATTTTATGTAAATAAAATAGTAGGAAATGTGTCATCCTGTGGCTTTCATTTTTCACTTGACATGTTTCAGAAATTTATCCATGTTGGTATGTATAGCCATAGCTTATTCTGCTTTAGGAATATACCATGATGTATTTATATATTCTTTTGTTTTAGAAATTTGGATTCTTTTCTATGTCTCAACTACACAACAATACTCTACATGAAGCCAAATTCTTGTCCAAAATAACAGTTCCCATTCCATTAGCAGTGTAAATTATCTACACTGATATTTCAGACTTTTAAAGTTTTGTCAGTCTGTTAAATGTATTATAGCATTTTACGGTATGATAGCATTTTACTGACTTCTATCCTCCTGATTACCCATGGACAACTATTCCTATGTTTTATCTTCTATGTTGTTTGAAGTGCCTGATAAAAGTCTTTTGTCCTTCTTTCTGTTGAGTTCCTTCTGTGTCTGTGCATCTGTCTGTCTGTCTCTCTCTCTCAATATGGAGTCTTAATTGTTGGAGAAACTACTGTAGGATAGAATTGGTCAAGTCCTGTAGTTTCCAATATTTTTCCCACTTGAAATTTGCTCTTTTTCATACATATTAAAATGTTTAGAAAATATAGTTGCAACATGCCAGCCACCTTTGCAAAACTTAGTCATATACAGTATAGATTATTTTTCCACGCTTCATGACCTGCTTTTACTTTGCCCAGTCTGATTTCTGTAAACATATACTGGATTGCTTTGACACTTAAGATCAGAAACATCATCTTCCATCGCCACAATATCATGATGATGTTTTAGTAAGTTACTGCTCCAGGTTGACGGAGGTGATGATTATTGTCCATGCCCTTTACCTCTTGATGGTGTAACCCCTTTCCAGGCCCTCCATGGGAACTTTCTTATATGCTTGTACATATCCTCCTGTTCTTCTCCTCCTTACAGCTAGCAGAAATTTTTGTTGAATATGCTTTGACATTATTAAGTACATGAACTGAAAAATAATTACAATAATTCTTTCACACTGAGACAATGAAGATATTAGTCAATAGCCTTTGAATTAGAAATGAGATATGATTAACTCTAGATTAGGATTTAAATTTCACCCTAGTTTTAAATTTTTTTTGTATAAAGCATAGAGGAAGCTAAATTAATAGCTTACATGAGTCATCAGATTATCAGGACTCAGGAAGGTTGAAAAAGAACTTTAAAATCCTCAGGTTCCTCTTTCCCCAGTGGACAGGGAAAGTAGAGCATAAAAAACAAACCTTTATCAAGAAGGACATCTGAACGAATTTTCTTTTCCTTATATCTCACAAACTTTATCCTGAAGGGTAGTTATCGCAACCATAATTGACCCATACTGAATCAAAGTCTCCTTTTTAATTACTCTCTGTATTGGAGGACCATCTTGCTGAATATATTATGTGCCTTTTATGTTAGAGGTCATAGTTCATGCTTCCAGTTCATTCTTTACAACACTAAGCGTGAAGGAAACTCAATAAATTTTTTGCCATTTGAATAAAAAGTGGAAGTGAAATTTAGTAGCACTGCTGGTAAAATGTCTATAAACTGTTGTCAGCAAAAGGGCACAATACCTCCACTTCCTGTTCAATTCATGTTCCCTATATGATATAACAGAAAACCCATAGTAATAGTGAAATACTATACAGCAGTTTACTTCTCCTATGAAGGGACTCTGAAGGCAGGCAGACTAGAGTTGGTGCTACCTACAGTTCCACAGGATTGTCAGGAACAGAGTGTGGCTCTTTCTAGATCAGCTGTCATTCTCACGGTGTTGTTACTGAAGCTCCAGCTTTCACAGCCATGTCTGTAGGCATTAGAAGATAAAGAGTAGCTCATTTACGGAAATGTGTTAGGAATCTCACAGAACACTTCATCCTACATGCCTCTGGTTATAAACAAGTGAATACGGTCACATCAAGCTAGTGAGGTGGATTAAAGATAGAAACTTGAACTGGCCAATAGCATATCTAACTAAAAATCAAAAGCTTAAAAATGGCTCTTGCCAGGGAACTAACACATTTTCTAAACCACACAGGCCATGAAACTCAATTAATCTGCTTGCACAAAATTGTATATTTCTAATTACGCACCTACATATTGAAGGACATTCAACCCTTTAATGTGATTTCTTTGCCACTGTCAAGAGCAGCCAGATCTTATGTCACATGCAGACAGGAATTTTACTATCTAGAGACCGCCATGTCTCAGCATGAAGATGACATATTTAAGACTGCATCAAAGAGCTTAGCCAGTGTGAAAAATACAAGAAAACAAATATAAGAATATAAAAACAAGGAAAACTATCATTCCTTGGATATGACATAATGAGTACTTTAAAATCCAAAAGAATCTATAATTTATTATATTAGTAAGTGAATTTAGAAAAGTTGCTGCACACAAGGGGAATGTGAAAATTAATTTATTTCTATATACCAAGAACAAAGAGAAAATGAAGTGTAGAAATATACCATTGAGCACAAGTCAAAAATATACTTACAAATACTTTTAACAAAGTAGAAGACCTAAGTGAATGAGGAGATAGTGTGTTCATGGAGTTTTAGCTCATTATTGCTAAAATCAGTTTTCCCCAAAGTAATCCAGAAACTCAAGTTAACCCTAGTCAACATTTCAGAAGATTCTCTCGCACTAGAGCCGGGGGCTGGGGATTTAGCTCAGCAGCACAGTGCCTGCCTGGCAAGCACGAGGTCGTGAGTTCGATTCCTGGTACCAGAAAAAAAAAAAAGAAGAAAATTCTCTCTCTTTCCTTCCTTCCTCCTTTCCCCACCCTCTCTTTCTTATTATGGACTCTGACAAGCTGGTGATAAAATTGCCTAGGAAATGCAGAACCAAGGAGAGCCAAAGCAGCCTAGAACAGGAAAGCAGAACCCAGATGAGCTAGGAGGTGAGGGCTGGGCAAACTGGTGGGGACAAAAGTGGGCAGTGTCAAAGGTCGTAAAGACCCAGAGGACATGGGCAGAACTCATAAGAGAGGCAGCCAGAATATTTTCATTCCCTCATTTGAATCTGGTGCTGCTTGCAGGACCAACCAGAAAAGTGTTGTTTTCAGTTCCTCATTTACATCTGATGGGAAGCCAAGCAAGTTTTTCCATAAGGCAGTTTAAACCTGGCACCAGGCCATGTGAGTTTTTGATAGGATGACTGTCCCAATCCCTAATTTGCCTGAGGGAGAAGACAGTCCAGGAATTTTGGATACAAAAGGCTCCTTTCCATTATCCTCCAGGCCGCTGTGAATCTGGTCAGTCTCCCACTCTTAGCCTGGAGAGATATCTTTTCCACTTTCAGTAAATATACACCTTCGCTACCTTCACTACCTTGTCCAATTCTTTGTTCAGGACACCAAGAACCTGGAAAGAATCCCCCAGAACCCAGCATCCTATAACAAGGAGGCATGTGCTATCTGATGTGGAAACCTACTATAAAGCTATGGCACAGCACAGAATGGATGACCATGCCACCAAATAGAGTCTGAGAACAAATATGCAACATTTGGTTCACCTGATTTATGGCAAAGTGACACTGGTGTGGAGTAGGAAAAGGATGAGCTTTTTTATAAACAGTGCTGGTTTACTGGGATATCTTCAGGGAAAAAAAGTCTTGATCTCCACCTCATATTACAAATGAAAATTAATCCCAGAGGAATTGTAGATATAGATGTAAGTGATAAATCAATACAGCACTTAGAGGAAATTATAAAAGAATATGTTTCTAACCCTGGTGTAGACAAATGTTTCTTAAACAGGATACAGAAAGCCCCAACCAGAAAAGCAAATGTTGATAAACTGAGCTACATTGAAATTCAGATCTTCTATAAACAAAAGACCATTACAATAGTGAATAGGAAACCCACAAAGAAATGGGAGATAGTCAAAATACAAACATCTGCCAAGGGACTTCTATCTACAATACATAAAGAATTCCTAATAATAAGAAAAGGCAAAAATCTCAACCTAAAATGAGAAAAAGATTTGAACAAAATCTCTACACAATATAAAAAAAATGAAATACAAATATGAACAAGTTCTCACCTTCAGTAGTCAGCAGAGAAATTAAAATCAAGTAACATACTTGCATTCACAATGAATGAGTCAGCCAGCCAGCTTCTGGGGTAGGGAGGTACTTAGGGTGGAAGTCAGAGCAAGTTTCTCATAGAAGGGGGTTGTTATGGCTTGTGTCTAGATGTTCCCCCAAAGTCTCATATGATCATAGGTGGGGTTTTTCAGAGGTGGCTGGATCTAAAGTGTGATGCTGGGATCAAAGGTGGGTGATTACTAAATTAGTCCACTGATTGGTTTGGCAGTTCTGAGAGTGGATAATGGGAAGGCTCTCCATGGGTGTGAGTGCAACCCACCCTAAGGATGTGTAGCCTGGACAAAATATAAGGGATAGAAAGAGGGTTGTTGCTTGGCCCTCGCTGCTTACTGCTTTGCAGCCTTCTGCCTACCATGAACTGTTTCTCCTTTGTGGTGCCCCTCTGCCATGCTACCCTGCCTTGGAACCAGCTGACTGTGGACTGAAACCTCTGCAAACTGTGAGCTGAAATAAACCTTTCCTCCTTTAACTTTGGGTGTTGGGTATTTTATCTCCTCAATGAGAGAAATGTAATGAAGACAGGGATATTAGTGCTCCATCTCAAAGGAAAAGTAGGAGCCTCTAAGCAGGAAAGGAGTAAATGGTTCTTCCTAGAAACAAGAACAAGGAAGAGGATTAGGGTATGAAAGAGCGTTGTAAGCAAAGGGAAACAAGGAACGAAAGGCAGTATGTGACTTTTCTAGGCAACATTTCATGTGTTTCTTTTTTTTTTTTTAAGTCATGTGTTTCAATGATGAACCATCGTTAATATCTATGGAGTCTGGGTTGAGTAAACAAGCCAAGTGCCATAATTAGTGATGTGAATCCCACCAAGTGGTGTGGCTTTTAAAAGTTGGACTGTCTTTCAGGTTCCTCGTGCTCCACTACCCCGGCTCTCCATGCACCCTTTGGCCATGTTAACTGCGCCCAAAGCAGTAGAATATGCCTGCAAGCAGAGTAAGATTGTTTATTTCCATCTGCCTAGAAAAATGTAAGCAAAATTATGGGATGGGCCACAAGGTAATGTTCATATTGTAATGGTAATTAGATTTCTGTCCAGATGAATCAAAACAAACTAGGAGCTTTTATGACCTCATTTCCCACCAACCCCTAGTACATACCAAGATCATAAAGTCTTATTTCCCAGATCCTCTGGTAATGGGAGCAAAGCAGCCCAGAAGGGAAAGATGTAAACCTGTGGGAAGATACTTTTTTTTTCAAACGTTTATATTCAGATATGGTTTACATGTGTCTGTAGGTGTCATGCTAAGAAGGGGAGCAACACATAAAAAAGCCAGGAGCAGTTCTACAAAGGAAGCAAATGCCACAGAATGGAAATCATCAAAAAGATTTTCATACTCACTGCCAAAGAAAAAAGTAGGTCTGAAATCATAAAGTGGACCAAACAGATCCCAGATGTTTTGAGAGAACTGTATTTATCTTGTGATTAGAAGTCAAGCCTCCAGGCCCACATAGTGGTGCACACCTGTAATCTCCAGCCCTTGGGAGGCTGAGGTAGGAGGATCACTGTGAGTTCAAGGCCAGCTTGTGCTACAAAGCAAGACCCTGCCTGAAAACAAACACACAAAATAGGAAGAGTAATGGTACCTACAGTTGTTGGGATGATTGAGATAGAGGTTAAGTGTTTAGAGCAGTGGTTGGGACCACGTAATCCTTAAATAAATATTAGCTATGATTATCTTTTCAGCATTTGAAAAGTACTATTCATAAGTTAATTGGCAGGGCTGGGGATTTAACTCAGCGGCAATGCGCCTGCCTGGCAAGCGCAAGGTTGTGAGTTCGGTTCCCGGTACCGGAGAAAAAAAAAAAAAAAAAAAAAAAAAGTTAATTGGCTGTTACTGTATTGATTCAAGTAAGTATACTGAGGGGATTTTATTAATACCCATATCTCAGACGTTCCTATTCTTGGTCCGTCTCTTACTAGTGAGAATTTTTATCGTTTCCTGCTTGGCATCTCCCCTGCTCCTGACCTGTCCTCCTGATTCCCAGGTTTTACGCTGCAGGATTCAGATGGTTAGAGATGTACAGGGCTGAAGGGAAAGCAGGAAGGAAGCAAGGAGTTTCTTTATTCTTTATTCTTTATTCTTCTGGTTCCAGCTTCTCAATCTTAATGTGCAAAATGAAAAAAAATGTAAAAAGAAGTTAGGGAGACCAAGTTCATCAACATAATAAAAGCTGAGAGAAGAGAGAATCAGAGATGGTTCCAGCTGGGTGTCTGGGACCTTTGGAGTGATGTTGAAGGAGAGACTTGGTACAGGCTGAGCACTGTGAAATAGGAGAGGGCAAGAGAATTTTGAGCAGAAACACACTGAGTCATGAATTGGGCTTGGTTGCTGTGCTGTGCATCTTTTAAATGTGAATTAGAATCTGAAAGACCACTTGGGAACCAGGATTTATTCAGGTTCCAGAGGTAAACTATTGATGGACTAAAAGCGTCACCTTGTCCTACAGTAGGAACTGCCTGAGCAGCTGCCTGAATTCTTAGGATATATCAGGGCTTTCACACACAATATGTATTCTAAAAACAGAATGACCACACTTCAGAGAAACCATCACTGTACCGTTTTCTTTTAAAAGTATTTGCTAGGAGATTTAAGGGTTTAGAGGTTACAAGACCATATTTTTATTTTTGAAGAGCTTTTAAGCATGAGGTCATTTTTATGTGTGTTTGAAGACACCAAGCTTTAGAAAGCAAAACAAAACAACAAATAAGAGCTCCGGAAATGCACGTGCACTTACACAAACACACAACACTGACAGTCTAGACCAAACTCAATCGTTCAGAAATAGATATCCGAAACACGAGGTCACAGACCTCTGTAATGAGAGCCTAGCTTCAGCAGTTGCTCACTTGTAAGTTATTTTGAAGATATCATTTTATTCCATATATGTTTTCTTCCATAACCATTGATGATTGCTGGCTCCTTGGTGAAAGCAGATTTTTGTTTCCTTCTTATTCCCCACACATATATAAAGTGCTTTGCAGGCAATAGAGATTCAGTTGATTAGTGAATTAGCAGTAAGTGAGTGATCGTTAGGCAATGCTGCACTCTTTCTGTACCGATCAAGGCTCATTTCCAGACATCAGCCATTTCTGTGGCCAGCTGGTGTTTGCAAGCTACAGGGCATCAGAAGAGCAATACCCATTTTGTAGAGGGCTGTGGTTCTGAGAAGAATCCTTCCGTAAAGTCCCCTTCTTTGTACTCAAACAACAGAAAATTCATTCTTATTTTTCCTTTCCAACTTTATTATTTGTGCAATTTAGGAATTTTTTTCCAACTCCTGAATAATACATCTTTTAAACCAGTTGAAAAGTACAACAGCAACACATACTTATAAATAAACATTTCAAACCATACAGAAAATGTAAACTGAAGAGTAAATAATCATCTTATCACATTCCATTTCCACTGTTCATTAGTAACTACTGTTAACATGTCTTGTAATAGCCAAATAGCTGCAACCATATAAATATACATATACATGTCTCACAGGTTTGTTAGACTCCTTTTATATTACAGAAATAAATATTATATTAAATGAATACAAAATGTGCTGTTTTACTTTGTTGTTTGAGAATGCTTTTCATTTTATATATTTGGGATTCTTAGAATTTCCTTCACGGCTTGTGGACATTATATCGTGTTTGTTTGGATGAAAAACAAGTTTTTTTTAACCTCAAAATAAAACAATGCCTTATTCAGAATTTTCTACTCATTTCTAGCCACTGAATTTCTTCATATACTTGGAGAAGGGGAAACTATTTTTTAAAAATCCAGATAGTCTAGGAAAGAGTTTTAAGGATTTGTTTTTCTTTTATTATTATATTAGCATTAGTCTCCATTTATTAGTCAAAATGGGTATGAGTAATATCACTTCCTAGGAAAGTATTCATACTGTGAACATCACCAAGAAATGAATTTGAAATGGACAGAACTATACCAAAGAGTTCAGTGACAATATTCTTGAATTCTGGTTCCTTGTTTAATAGCTTAGGTGAATTGCTTAACCTCCCTATGCTTTAGTTTCTTCTCTATAAAATGACCTATCTCATAGGCTTGTTATAAGGATTAAATGAGTAATGTGTAAGGTCTAAGAGAAGTGACAGAGCAAGATTGCTTCCTCTATCACTACTCCTAAAGAACTCACAATGTTATGGAAGGAAATAAGACACAGAGAAGGCAATAGAAGTTTAAATGCAAAGCAATATATGCAAAATTCAAAGTAACACACTACAAGCACAATACACAACTACTAAGGAGCTTTAAAAAGATTTACTTTGGGTAAGGTTGGTCAGAAGAAGTATAACTCTTATATTTACTTTTGTGTTTGGAAATAGTTTCAAGCTTACAGAAAAACTACAAACTTAAAAGTTGCAAGAGTAGCACAAAAAAATTCCCATCTTTCTGAATCCATCAATTGCTAATGCTTTGTCCCATGAACTTTACCATTTTCTCTGTCTCTTCTCTTTGAGCAGGTATAGATGTAGACATATAATCTGTTTTGAACCATCAGAATTTTTACATACCCTTTCATTTTACCCTGTATACTTCAGCTTATATTTTCTAAGAACAAAGAAAGTCACTCATTAAATAACCACAGTGGGGCTGGGGATTTAGCTCAGCAGCACAGCGCCTGCCTGGCAAGCGCAAGGTCATGAGTTTGATTCCTGGTACTGGAAATAAATAAATAAATAAATAAATAAATAAATAAATAAATAAATAAATATTTAAAAAATAAAAATAAAAATGAATAACCTCAGTAATAATCAATTTCAGAATATCTAAAAGGTTATTTTTATCTGACCTACCATCTATATAGCAATATTGTCAATTGACTCAAAATGTCCTTTTTAAGCACTTTTTTTCTTTCTATACAGGTTCCACTGTGATGTCACATATTGCATTTAGTTGAGAAACATAGCTCAATTTCCAAACTTTTCAAAATAGCCCCACAGAAATTGTTTTATATCTACATTTATGTGATCCATCTTTGTCAGCTAGCATTTGATATTTGATAGGAACTTATTGAAAGCTACTGTTTGTGCCCTGTTGATGTACTTTATACTAACATCATCCTTTCATTCTGCAGGTCACTTAGAAACTTAGACTTCTACCGTGGAACTTAATAACACAACCTCTGGGAATAGAGAAAAACCATCATCTGCATTTTCTTTACAGTTCATTTTTGATGCAAATGGAATTGAATGTTATATTTTTTTCTATTAGAAGCATTTGCAAAGAACGTTTTGGTAAAAGAAAAAAATGTGTGTATCTTCTGCTACTTCATGGTGACTGGAAGACTGATAGATAATTCAGGGAGTCTATAACATTTCTGCATCAGAGCAGGCAGACGGGCTTTGTAGCAGATTCTACTAATGTGTGGCATTCAGTATAGTGGAGTAGCAGACCGTTTTCCTAAGTTATAATCCAGAATAAAATTAATCAGTTGTTGATTGCCTTTACTATGCTCTCAAATGGAAAAGTATTTAAGTTATTTCAATAAAGCATTAAAGAAATAATAGCTGCAAGCTTTCTCTCTGTAGAATGTGATTATTAAGAAAAGAAAATTTTCTACTCTTTCAGTGGCTTTTCAAATGCTGACTAGGCACTTGGCTTATCCTGTCAGTGTTTGTAATAACAACTTGATCAAATGAATGTCAGGAGGGCTCACACCATTCTTCAGGCCTGCCATCTTTCTGTAGAACATTTTCCTTAGTTTATGCAAGAACATGTGGGTTTACTGACCTCTGCTGAAAATGGTGATGGAAGGATGTGGCTGGGGAGACCAATGCAGTGTTTTGCACACAGGTACCCAAGATTTACTAGGACACTTGCAGCCTTAGGAGGGAGACAAAAAGGAGATTGGTGACCAGTAGTCCCTGCCAGGGGTACAGCTGCCTAGGGTTTGTCCAGTTTTCTTTTTGTCTAGCTCTGTTATTATGAGAAAATAGTTTTTCTTTGTGGCCCTTGTTGTCTCTTTTTTTCTTACAGTCTACACATTTGCTGTAAGCACTGCCTAAGGATTTCACAAATAGCATTGTGAATATGTCACTTGCTATAGTTGGGTATCCTTTTGGAGACCCTCCAAGGGTCTGAGGTATAAAAGTTTTTTATTTCATCTTCCTACACACACATGGCCTGGGATGACCAAATAAATCTGAGTTTTGTATGGACGTCTATCTCTGCACATCTAAGGAGTGCTTCCAAATTAATAGGTTAGCAGCAATAGAGAAAGCTCTTCAGGCAGACACCTTGGCTCAATGGCACAGTGACACCTGAGTGAGGGAAAACACAGGCAAATCATAACACTAATTTTAAAAACAAAAAGCAACTCTCAAAGAAGGGTGCTGCCTGGAGGAAAATGGAAGAATCTTGTGTATTTTCCTGCTGTCTGAGTGTCTCAGATTCTTGTAGTGCTCTTTATTTTTAGCCCATGGAGTAATGTTTAATCTCAGGACAACGTATCTAATTCCAAAAATGCTTTTCACCATTAGCACTAAGTCATACATTTAAAATTCATTTTAGCATCTTCCTTTTTTTCAAACAAGGGTAAATTTCCTTCAAAGACTGTATGGTAAATAAACAGATACCTTTTTCAATGAACTCTCAAGCAGTTTACAATAAAACGTGTAATACTTAGGAACACCACTATTTAAGACAGCAATGTATTCTTTTTAGCTTTTACCTGTTGTAATTCACTAGAGTTTCCAAAACTTCCACACATTGTGCTTTTCATGTCAAATTTTTATTAAAAAAAAGCTTCGCTATTTTTTAAATTACTATCTTTAAGGCACTTGTCCCAGTTACAAATGAAATTTCATTTTACATCTATAATTAGAAGCAACATTTACAATGGGACTGTACAAATTTACATCAAAATAAAGAACATGAATTCATTGTTTCATAAAATATTTACTGAATCTTTAAAGAAAGTAAAAGTCGGGGCTGGGGATTTAGCTCAGTGGCAAAGTGCCTGCTTGGCAAGCGCAAGGTCATGAGTTCAGTTCCTGGTACCGGAGAAAAACCAAAAACCAAAAAAAAAAAAAAAGAAAGAAAGTAAAAGTCACAGCAATATAAGCACAAGTGATGATTTAATGAGTATAAGCAAGACAAACAATAGATCTGTGCTTCTTTTGCAGATTGGAGCAGTGAAACGCTTAGCTACAGTTCCCCATACAAACTTGAAACAATATTCATATAGAATAAACACCCTTACAAATAAAACTGATTTTACTATTTGTCACCACACAGAATAATAACATATAATAGAAAGGGCAGGAAACAGCAGCAAAACTAAGACACAAAAACCACGTTAGTACCTTAATCTTGCCATTCATTGATAACCAGGACTGACATTTTAGTGTTTACACGGATTTTTACCTTTAACGTGCAAGTTTTTAAAAATCAAAGTCATAATGTACTGATGTCGAAATGCAGTATCTTTCAAGTAGAGGATTTTTCGATTGAGATTTTTGTTTCCCACTTTTACCTCAAGTCCTTCTGGAACTCATATGACTCTCATGAGCTCCCTCAGACGGAACCACCAACCTCCATCTCAGCAGTTTCTATAGGCAAACATTGCAAAATGCTGGGCATGTAATGTATTTCTAGAGAGCTGCATAGGATGAGAAGTGCGTCCTTTGTCTCCAAGGTCATAATGGCTCTGCTGACTTGAATTCCTTTCACTGGAACTAGTGAGGACAACTCGAAAATGCCAGAGAGAATGAGAGCCCCCTGCCCCATGATCCCAAATGAAAAAAAGAGAGAACACAGAAATCCCCTTACGCATTGCCCCCAGCTCCCTTTTGTGTTGTTCCTGCCAGCACAGCAGCCGCCCTGCTATATATATCAGCTGCCACTCTTGTCCCCATCGCACTGGACACTGATCATTCGCTCTCAACAACCATGGGGAAGGTGAGCCAGTGGAGGTGCCACACCATGTCTGCCAAGAGTCTGCTCTGTGGGGGCATGTACCTTCCAGCTGACCATCTCTGTCACCTTCTTTTCCACTGCAGATCACCTTCTACGAGGACCGGGGCTTCCAGGGCCGCTGCTACGAATGCAGCACCGACTGCCCCAACCTGCAGACCTACTTCAGCCGCTGCAACTCCATCCGCGTGGACAGCGGCTGCTGGATGCTCTATGAGCGCCCCAACTACCAAGGCTACCAGTACTTCCTGCGGCGCGGCGACTACCCCGACTACCAGCAGTGGATGGGCTTCAGCGACTCCATCCGCTCCTGCCGCGTCATTCCTTATGTGAGTCCCGCTTCAACTTGACTGATGCGCCGCCAGAGCATCAGTGATCAGTGGTCGTCAGTGTCTATTTGCAAGTTTTCCCCTCTAATGTTCTCAGCAAGGATAGGCACACAGTAAGGATGGCAAAGCCTCTATTTTTCTTACACACATCAATATTGTTTTAGGGCACAAGAACTCATGAACTCTAACCTTCAAAATTAAACCTGGCTGAAAGTGGTAGGGCCTTCGGCCATAAAAAGAAGAATATTCTGTCTTGTGCAATGATGTGGATGAATCTAGAGAGCATTATGTTAAGTGAAATAAGCCAGGCTCAGAAAGATAAATACCATATGATCTCACTCAGGTGGAATCTAAAACTGATGCTCTTATAGGAATAGAGGCTAGAACAGTGCCTAGGAGAGGCTGGGGCAGTTGGGAAAGGGAGAGTGGTTTGGGTAGATGTTGTTCAAAGGCCTATAATCATAGTTAGGTGGAGTAAGTTCAGAGATCTACTGGATGGCACAATGTCCACAGTTAATGATTATATGTTATATCCTTTACAAATGCTAAGATTGGATGTTAAGTTCTCTCATGACAGAAATGATAACTATATAAGGTGATGCATATATTAATTAGCTAGATTTAGATGTTCTATAATGCATATACTTGTATAAGTATATACTGTATATATAATAGATATGTATGCTATATACTTAAAAATGTATACATACACAAATCTGTCTGTCAATTTAAAAATAGATAAATTTGAAAACTAAATAAGTTAAATAACTTGGTGGAATGTAGGCAGTTTGTAATTTCTACATCAAACCTGTCTTTTTCAGTAAAGAAAAAAAGTCTATTTAGATAACTTTTCTTTCTTTCTTTCTTTCTTTCTTTCTTTCTTTCTTTCTTTCTTTCTTTCTTTCTTTCTTTCTTTTGTTTTTTTGTTTCGTCTTTTTGAGACAGGGTTTCACTATGCAGTTCAGGCTTGTCCTATAAACTCACTTTGTAGCCCAGGCTGGCCTCTAACTCACAGTAATCCTCCTGCCTCTGCTTCTCAAGTGCTGGGATTACAGGTGTGAGCCACCACACCCAACTATTTAGATAATTTTTAATGATAAAAAATTAACAGGCTGTAGAAGAGCAGTTTAGGTAGAATGTATTCTGGCTACACTGATTTTTTTTTCACTACACTCTATAACACACTGATGTAGAACCTGAGCAATGTGTCTCAGCTTGTGTAGTTTTATATTTTCCAAGAGGAATTACCAACTGTTCTCTTATTAGGGGCAGGGACAGGGAATTGATTAGGATCTCCTGGGCCATGGTCTCCACCAAAATATTGCTTCATGTTTTTCATTCCCATGAAGACCATATTTATGCTTTCTGGAGGCACCAAATTATGTGCTGTGGCAAGAAGATTCAAAACCGATATCAAATTGAGGCTAAAAAAACGTACAGATACACAAAGAGTTACATGTAAGACAGACATTTCTTTGGGGGCCAGAAACTCAAATGGTTCAAAGATTTGCCAAAATGTCACTTGGAAAGCTATGTGGACTCAGCACACTTGAATCGCTGTGCATCCTAAGTGCAAAAAAGTGACTTTCAAGCAAGCTGCATAGAGTTCGGTTCCATGGAGTGATCATGGAGTTAAAATCTTCTCCGCAAGCTCAGTAGACACAGTTGTGACAGGTGGCTGCTTGCAAAGGAAACACTTTTATTCCCTCTATTTTCAAAGTTAGTTTCCTCCACAAAGTCTCCAGTTCACTGGTCATGTTAGTTTTATTGTGATACTCTTCCTTATTTGTTAGAATGACAACGTTAGGAGTGAGATTAGAAACATTAGCAGAAGGCTCTGAAAATCACGCTTCACGGTGATGCGGGCTGGCTGTCACTTTCGTTGACACTGAACATGCATATCACTTTTCTTTCTCCTTTTGTTTGTTGTCGCAACAGACCAGCTCTCACAGGATAAGGCTGTATGAGCGAGATGACTACCGGGGCCTTGTGTCGGAGCTCACCGAAGACTGTTCCTGCATCCACGATCGCTTCCGTCTCAATGAGATCTACTCACTCCACGTGCTGGAGGGCTGCTGGATCCTCTACGAGCTGCCCAACTACAGGGGCCGGCAGTACCTGCTGAGGCCAGGGGACTACAGGCGGTACCATGACTGGGGGGCCATGGATGCCAAAGTCGGCTCTCTGAGACGGGTCATTGATGCGTACTAAGTGGTGCCTTTCTTGTTATGATCCATATGGAGACGCAATAAAATAAAAAT